ATCTACTGACCACTCTGCCACCCCGATATTTACTGCCACTTCATCCATGTCTTTGGGGTCCCTCTCATCTCCCTAATGGACTGTTTCTTCCATGATGAAAAGATCAGCCAGGGAGTATATCTGAGGTTTATATCAGGGTGTCAGAAGGGGACATGGATTGGTATGACAAGGGTCCAGCAAACAAACAGTAAACAGGCTCATCAGTAAACATCCCCAGAGGAAGAGGTCCCAAGCTCCTTTGAGCACACATGACTGTTACAGACATTGCACATGCTCAGAAACATGTTGCATTCCTTCCAAGGCAACATCATCACGCCAGCACTGCGGCCCACAACTGCGTTCCAGCCCTGATTTCCAGATGTGGGATGTCTGCTGGCCAGCTTCCTCCCCCATAGACAGCGGCACACACCGATCACGTTTGGAGTCCTTCTTCCAGGTGATGTGTTACTGATGAGCCTGCTTACTCTGACTTTATGGGAGGGGCCTGCCTTATATACCAAGAAATGTATTCTCTGATGGGGGGCACAGTCTCTGATGGGGGTGCTGCTTCTGATGGAGTGCGGCTTCGAAAGAGTGCGAAGCAGTTAAACACAGCAGTTGAACTAAAGCAGGAGAAAGACACAACAGCAAGAAAACTCTACTGCATGCTGGACAGACTGCAAGCAAACACCCTGGGAAACCTCTCTTACATGCCTGACTCCCACTCTGTGTTACCTTTATATAATACACTCCTCCTCTTCATATTACTATCCTCTGTTCCCAAATCTCATTTCTTTACCCTCTCTGCTCCACCCCAAAACTTGCACATCTCCCCCTCATTGCTATCATCTCCCTACTACTGCTCACTCATCACCCCCCAAAAATGCCTCTTCTACTCCTTCTCATTTTCCTCTCCTCCATTCCCAAAATCCATTCACTATATCCCTCTGCTCCTCCTAAACATTTGTATATTGTGTCCTCACTGCTTCCTTCGCCCCACTATGGCACCCCACCACCTCCTCCTATTACTCCACTCTCCCACTGACCCCAACACCTCCACTAGGAGTTTTTCACGCTCCTGCATATCCCGCTCCCATGCCACCTTTCTCACTCTTCTCCTCCTCCTAGCCACGGGAGACATCTCCCCGAATCCTGGCCCTCCACCACCTCCCTCACCCGCACAACACCCTCCCGCCTCCATGTCCTACCGCAAACTAGTATCTGTCCCCCTGCTCCCTAAAATCTCCCCCCCCGTTTTTCATGTGCACTCCTGAACGCCAAACGATACACGTATCGTGTGTGCAACAAGCTTACCGCCATCCACGACCTCTTTTTGTTTCCCGCTCCCTCAACCTCCTAGTGATCACGGAAACCTGGATCCAGCCCACTGACTCTACCTCCCCTGCTGCACTCTCCTACGGAGGTCTCACCTGGACCCACTCACCCAGACCTAACGGTCGTAAAGGTGGTGGGGTTGGTCTGCTCCTGTCACCGCAGAGCGCCTTCCGAGTCCTCCCAAACCCCCCTCCCTATCCTTTCTCCTCCTTCGAGGCCCACTGCGTCCGACTATTCTCCCCAACCCCCTGAAGATTGCTGTGATATACCGGCCTCCTGGATCCATACCCCGCTTCCTGGAAGACTTCTCCTCCTGGCTACCCTTCTTCCTCTCCTCTGAGCTACCCACCATCATTCTTGGGGATTTCAACATCCCTGTCAACCTCGACAACCCGACACAGCCCGTCTCCTCCACCTAACCTCCTCCTTTGCACTTGCACAGTGCATACAATCCCCACCACCCACTCCGACGGTAATATCCTTGATCTTGTCTTCTCAAACCGCTGCGCTCCCCACAACCTCACTAACACCCCCCTTCCCTCTCTCTGACCACAACCTGATCACCTTCTCTATCTCCTCGTCCTCCAACGCCTACCCCTCCAAATGTCACACTACTACCAGCCGTAACCTCCGCAACCTTAACCCTGCCCCCCTCCACTCTGCAGCTGATCAACTCCACGACCGCATCCTCCCCCTGTCCTGCCCCGACTTGGCTATGACTGCCTACAACAACGCGCTGTCAGCAGCCCTTGACTCACTAGCGCCTTTAACCACACGCAACATCAGACTCCAACCGCTCCAGCCCTGGCAGACTGATCACACCAAAACCCTCAAACGACACAGTCGTGCCCTGGAGCGACTATGGCGCAAAAAACAAAATCCCAACAAGCCTTCACCCACTACAAATCTGCCTTCCACACCTACACCTCCTCCCTCCACGTAGCCAAACAAGCCTACTTCCTGACCCTCATCAAGGCCCTCTCCTCCAATCCTCGCCGACTCTTCTCCACCTTCAACTCTCTACTCTCTCCACCCCCACCTCCACCCAGCACCTCACTCACCGCCCTTGAGATTGCCAATCACTTCAAAAACAAGATTGACACAATTCGCAAGGACATTGCCGCAACTCACACGCCCTCTCAACCGTCCCCTCTCACACAGCTACCCCCCTCATCCCCCCTCCCCCTCGACATTACCCGCAGGGACTTCGTCACTGCTCAAACTCCCTCCACCCCGTTCCCCTCACTCAGCTACCCCCTCATCACCCCTCTCCCACGGCCCCACCACTGCTCTGACCTCCACTCCACCCCACCCTACATTCCTCATACTGAAGCTCCCCCAACACTCCACACCTTTGACCTTACTACCATCGAGGAAGTCTCCAAGATCCTCTCTGATGCCCGCCTCACCACCTGCCCCCTCGACCCTATCCCCTCACAATTCCTACGACCTCCCCCCCTCCATCCTACGCTCCCTCACCCACATCTTTAATCTCTCCCTCTCCTCCGGCACTTTCCCCTCCCCTCTGAAGCATGCACACATCACCCCCATACTTAAAAAGCCCTCCCCCTCTCCTGCCACCCCCTGGACCCCAATGACCCGAACAACCTCAGACCCATCTCCCTGCTCCCACTTACATCTAAACTCCTCGAGCGCCCTCGTCTACACCCGCCTATGCTCTCACCTCAACGACAACAACCTCCTCGATCCCCTACAGTCTGGCTTCCGCCCCCTACACTCCACCGAAACCGCCTTACTCAAACTCTCCAACGACCTTCTAACCGCCAAAGCTAATGGCCACTATTCAGTGCTCCTACTCCTTGACCTCTCTGCGGCCTTCGACACAGTTGACCACCCCTCCTCCTCAAAATACTACACTCCCTCGGCCTCAGAGATTCTGCTCTCTCCTGGCTCTCATCCTACCTGTCACAACGCTCTTTCAGCGTTACCTATAATGCTACCACCTCCCCCTCACTCCCCCTCTCTGTTGGGGTCCCTCAAGGCTCTGTCCTTGGGCCCCTTCTCTTCTCCATCTACACCTCCTCCCTTGGCCAACTCATACACTCTCATGGCTTCAACTACCACCTCTATGCCGACGACACACAAATCTATCTCTCCCCCCCCACCTCACCCCCTCGGTCTCAGCCCGAATCACACACCTACTGAGCGACATATCAGATTGGATGTCGCTCCACTTCCTTAAACTGAACCTCTCCAAAACCGAGTTTCTTGTCTTCCCCCCAGCCCGAACCCCACCCCCCATTGACTTCTCCATCACATCCAACAACGCCAATATCAAACCCTCTGCAGGCCAGAGTACTTGGTGTCATTCTGGACTCCAACCTATCCTTCCAGCCCCAAGTCCAATCTTTAACAAACTCATGCAGACTCCACCTCCGCAAACACTCACCTCGCCAAAATCCGCACGTTCCTAACCCCAGAAACCACTAAACAGCTCATCCACTCCCTCATCATATCACGACTCGACTACTGCAACTCCCTCCTCACTGGCCTGCCTCGCCGCTGGCTATCCCCGCTTCAGTCCATCCTGAATACGGCTGCCAGACTCATTCACCTTTCCAACCGCTCCATTTCCGCCACCCCCCCCTCTGCCAATCCCCTCCACTGGCCTCCATTCAGTGTCCGCCACCCCCCTCTGCCAATCCCTCCACTGGCTTCCGATTGCGCAACGGATCAAATTTAAAAATCCTAACACTGACGTACAAAGCCGTCCACCATACTGCCCCCGAACTACATCACTGACCTAATATCCAAGTACCGCCCAGCACGCACACTCCGCTCCTCACAAGACCTCCTTCTCTCTAGTTCCCTGGTCTCCTCCTCCCATGCCCGCCTCCAGGACTTCTCCAGGGTGTCACCCATCCTCTGGAACTCCCTGCCCCAACCCATCAGATTATCACCTACTCTCCTCTCCTTTAGGCGCACCCTGAAAACCCATCTCTTCAGGGAAGCCTACCCCCCCCTGCTAACTTGCCGACCTCCTCCACTCTTCCTACCACTCCATCCCCCACAGCTATCTCCTCCTGTACCACTATCCCATCCCTTCTAGATTGTAAGCTTTATAAATACTGTAATAATAATAATAATAATAATAATGTATTAGGGGGGCTACACTTAGGGGGGGTTTTTCCTGCCCCGCTTGTCTTCTTTACATTGCAGCCAGCATCTGCTCGAAGGACAAGCTTGTCCTCCCTGGATGGACTTTCAAAGACGGACATTTCTTTCCCGCACTTAAGGCACTGATACACCTTGAGGGTTATGTGGGACCCCTGATGTACAGGAAGATAGGACTTCAGTGAGGAACATTTCCCTCATCAGGACAGGAATATGGCTTTCCTCCCCCGTGTGCAATCTCTGATGCCTGGAAAGATCAGACTTCTGTGAAAAACATTTCCCACACATAGGACAGGAAAATACCGGCTTCTTCGCTGTGTGGCATCTCTGATGTTTGTAAAGACCGGACTTGTCTGAAAAACATTTCCCGCACTCAGGACAAGAATAATGCAGGCTTCTCACCTGGTTATGAAATCGCTGATGTGCATAAAGATTGGACTTCTGTGATAAAAACATTTCCCGCACTACAGAACAGGAATACGGCTTTCTCCCCGTGTGAGATCTCTGATGAATGTAAAAGAATAGACTACTCCTTGAAAAACATTTCCCACACTCAGGACATGAAAATGGCTTCTCCCCAGTGTGAGATCTCTGATGTGTGTAAAGATTGGATGTCTTGGAAAAAACATTTCCCACACTCAGGACAGGAATACTTTTTCTCCCCCATGTGAGACTCCTGATGTTTTGTAAAGACTGAACATCTCTGAAAAACGATTTCCCACACTCACGGACAGGAATATGTCTTCTCCTCCATGTGAGATCTCTGATGCCTATAAAGATGGGACTTCAGTGAGAAACATTTTCCCGCACGTCAGGACAGGGAATATGGCTTCTCCCCAGTGTGAGATCTCCTGAAGTGCGTATAAAGACCTGGATTTGTCTGAACTAACACTTTTCCCACTACTCAGGAACAGAATATGGGCTTTTTCCCACTGTGTGTGAGCTCTCTGATGTGTGTAAGGATAATGGTCTTCCTGTGAACAAACATTTCCGCCACTCAAGGCCTAGGAAATATGGTTCTCACCTGTGTGGGAGCCTCTAGATGTTTATCTGAAGATTGAGACTTTCGTTGAAAGAATCATTTCCCGCACTCAGTACAGGGGAATATGGCTTACTAGTACCGTGTGAGATCATTTTATAGATATCGCGATTCAAATTGGCCATTATAGGATTGGAAACCCTACACGCGCACTACAGTACAGGAGGAAGCTCTTCCCTGTTGGAAGGCCAGAGCGCTCGGTCCCGCAACAGTCTGAGGTTCCTCAGGATATGAGCGAATCCGAATGTGTCCCTCTACACTTGGGTGGTGCCGGGTGTTCCATGGACATTGGAGGAGACGGGTTTTTTCTCCCTGGACTTCTACTGTGTGATGGCCTTCATCTTCACTTTCCCAGTCTGGATACAAAGTGAGACAATCCTCGGAGGTTTTTCCTCATCTCCCGCCATGGACTAAAAAACTCAAAGACTCAAAGAGGTATTACTGAACATGGTCGCTGATTGGTTCCCCCAAACCCCTAGAACTCTCACACCACATCAGGAAGCTTGGTCTCCCGGGAGCTTACAATTCCACCTCAACGGGAACTAGGAAACTGGACTCCTCCTGATCTCCTACCCGAGGTCATTTTCTTTATTCATGGACCTTAGTCAGAGAGTGAGGAAACAACCTAGAACTGTCCTTTTATAGGAGGGACTAGTGATGAGGGTCGGAATTTATAGGACGAGGGTCCCCACCCCCTCTATCAATCCACCGCCATCTTCCCCAACATCAATAACATGAAGTACTGCACTTCCTTTATTTTAGATCCATGATTTTAGTCATTGAAGAACAGCGGGGCTCGAGCTCCACCCAGAGGTCAGTCGATTGTGGAGGATGGGGAGTGTGATGTACAACCAAGATGAAGACTGGGACCTGATCCTGAAGACCACCATCCATTGGGGTATAGACTCCTTCCCTCATTATCACTTTCTGTTTAAGGGTCCTTAACAGTTGGAGGATGTTATACACATTATTAGTTACCAGGTTAAAAGTCAGTTTGCTCCAATTCAACAATAATCCGATATATAATGTTCCCAGCTGGGAGAAACTGGGGGGAACAAAAAGAAACCATATATGTGTAAATATAGCCAGTGGGGGAGGGGGGGAGAGCAGAAGTCAGGAGTATTAATGTACAACAAGAGCATTAGTGCGGGGTCAGAGGATTGTAATGTACAACATAGAGTATATAGTGCAGGGGTCAGGAGTATGTAATTTACAACAGAGTATATAGTGCTGGGTCCATGATATTAAATGTACAACATAAAGTATAAAGTGCAGGGATCCAGGTGTATGTAATTGTACAATACAAAGTATATAGTGCAGGGGTCAGAGTATTAATGTAACACAGAGAGTAAATAGTGCAGGGGTTCATGAGTATTAATGTACAACATAGAGTATATGTGCAGGGGTCAGGGAGTTATGTAATGTACAACATGAGTATATAATGCAAAGGGGTCAGGAGATGTAAAGTACAACATAGAGTATATAGTGCAGGGGTCAGAGAATGGAATGTACAACATAGAGTATATAGTACAGGGGTCAGGAGCATGTAATGTACAACAGAGTATATAGAGCAGGGGTCAGGAGTATGTAATGTACAACATAAAAGTATAAAGTGCAGGGTCAGGAGTATTTAATGTAACAATACAGAGTATATAGTGCAGGGTCAGAGTATGTAATGGACAACAGAGTATATATTGCAGGGGTTCAGGAGTAAGTAATTGTACAACATAGAGTAAATAGTGGCAGGGGCAGGAGTATGTTTTAATGTACAACATAGATTAACTAGTGCAGTTATCAGAGTATTAATGTACAACCAGAGAGTAAATAGTGGCAGGGGTCAGATTATGGAATGTACAACATAGTATCATAGTGCAGGGTCAGGAAGATGTAAAGTACAAACCCTAGAGTATAAAAGTAAAAAGGGTCAGGGTAGGGAAATTTCAACATTGAGTATATTTGTACCCGGGGGCAGGAGGATGTAAAAGTACAACATAGAGTTTTATAGTTAAGGGGTCAGGGGGGAAAGTAATGTACAACATAGAGTTTTATAGTAAGGGGTCAGGGGGGATGTAAAGTACAAAATAGGGGTATATAGGAAAAGGGGGCAGGGGGGATGTAATGGTTTCAACAAAAAGGGGGTATATAGTGCAGGGGGCAGGCTGTAAGTACAACATAGAGTAAATTTGTGCAGGGGTCCGGAGTTTTTTTTTAAAGTACAACATAGGTATAAGTGCAAAGGGGGCAGGACTCATAATTTTTATTATTCATCATCAGGGAGAAGCTTTAAATGTTTCCTGTAACAAGTTGCAGGATCCCACAAACCCCTTCCTCCCATCTCCTGAGGGCTGGGACTCAGTGATTTGGGGCTGAGACCCCAAAAGACTATCCCCCCACCCCCACAGCCCGCAGGGTAACAAGAAGGTCCCCCGGAAGAGTCAGGCACAAGGCAGGAGACCCCCGTCCCATGTCCTGGGTGCCCACATTATGCCCAAAGCTGTAAAAAAAAATGAAAAATTTTTCTGCCCGCTGAACCCCAGAACCTCCCTAAAACCAGTCTAAGACATTTAAATTTTTGTCTGCAGACAGAGAAGGAAATTATCCGAAGAAATCCCGGAAAAACAGGACGGGGGGCACAGCTCGGAAAGGGGACCAGGGGATTACAGGCTGATATCACCCCGTCCCCCCCCCCCTACCTGGACCAATAGTGGGGCAGTAAAGGGTGGAGGGGGAATGGATTTTTTGTGTTCAGACCCACCTGTGGCTGATCTCCCGTAAAGGGGGTCCTCCCCTAAAAAAATGTCCCCCCCTTATTCCATCCTCCCATAGACTGCTGATTTATCCCCACATAGCCCTTCTTTTTCTGCTTTCCACCCCCCTTTATATTTTAAACCGATCTTCATCCCAAACCAAGAGAAAAGGGTAGAAGAGGTTCCCCTGTTAAAAAAATAAGATTTTGATTGTGACATCAACACCCCCAAAACCAAAACATTGGGCTCCAAAGTCCCTTTTTCTAGATGTTTTCCCTCCCCCCAACTAGGTTGGACCTGGCCAATAAAAATTGCCCGGGATTTTAGGGGCTGAGCACCCCTGTAATCCTCCACACAAAGTAGAAAAAGAAACTTTCCACCCACCCAAACTCCCTCTTTGAGGCACAACACGCCGGGGGGGGGTAGGTTGGGGGGGACACAGGAGGAAAGGGAGGGAGGGAAGGAAAAAAACCAGCTCCCCCTCTTCTCCCCAAAATCCCTTTTTCCATGTGGGAAAAAAAGGGGGGAAAGTCACTTTCTAGCTCTGGGCTTTTAAGGGGAGACCTTTCAGCTCATACCCTGCGGGGGCTGGGGGCCCAGTTTCCAGCCTCCTGGGGGGCCCCCAACAATAGCATCAGAGCAGCAAGGTCACCTTTCCCCGTCTCCCGTCCTCCTGGCTCCGGGGGTCCAGAGCTGTTTGGGCCCCACTCCCTTTCCCCATGCATTGCAGGGGGGGCTAAAGAAAATTTCAGCAGAGTTCCCCCAAATTTTGGCCCCCGTCCACCAGGCAAATATCCAGTGTGCCCTAAGGG